GAGAGAGAGAGAGAGAGAGAGAGAGAGAGAGAGAGAGAGAGAGAGAGAGAGAGAGAGAGAGAGAGCTTCTCAATTGCCATGTCTATAGCAGACAGGGAAGAGAGAGGGAGGCATGTTGTGTCCTTTGCGTACTGGCACGTGGCGTGTGTCATATTGTTTATACAGCGGTGTGCTGTGTGTGTGAGAGAGAGAGAGAGAGCCACCTGCAACCAGTGCAATAGCCCCCCCCTACACCCCTCTCCCCCCCCCCCTCACTGCAATGACTATGGCCCAATGCCCCGGTGCTATCTCTGCGTGTTCCCAGCACCAAATCTCCTGCCGTGAGCGCCATGCCCCCTTGCCACCACCGCTCATGGAAAGCCAAAGCCTGGCAAGCGGAACAGAAGGAAATCAACAAAAAGATGATGGGTGTACACGCGGCCCATCGCTACTGCCGATTGAATGGTCCGGTGAAGTGTCTGGATCATGGCGATCTCGGTGGTTTGCCGCTGAGGGTACTGTGAGAAGTTCATTGAGAATTTCATAGAACCTTATCATTTAGAGGAAGAAGAATTCGTAACAAGGTTTCCGTGGACTTCGAACTCTGGTTTCTATATCAACAGAGAAGGGGTGTACCAACTGCGCTTGCAATAACTCAGCCCAAATCTGCAAGTCGTGGGCTACATGTCGTCACTTTGGTCAAAGGCCTGAAACGGGGGTCAAGAGTCACGCCCTAAGTCCTAGAAACGCCTGGGTAAAGGTCTAAAGTCAAAGGGTACCCAGGGCAGGGCCAAAAACAGTGTCCAGAGGCCCCAGGCGCGGTAGTTGACTCTTGGAAAAATCAAGAGTCAAACCAAGCACGGGAATTCACGCCCAAAGTCAAAGTTAACAAGCTGGTCAGCCTCGGCCGTCGATCAGATGCACATCATTGGTTGTCTGCAGGTAACCAGAAGATTCCAGTTCCGACTGGGAGAAGGTACCACTACTTCAAAGCTGCATCCAGGCCCTCGAGATAAAAGGGAAGTGTCGACACTGCCAAAGGGGAGACTGGTCCATGCCAGTCAACACCAGTCAACGCTATAAAAGGATGGTCAGACACTGGGCACTGGGCAGGGCATTCTGCCTTGTGCTGCCTAGATGCTAGTGTCATGATGCGAGGCCGCTGGAGCTGTATGCTGGCACCAGATCCTGGGAGTGGGCACCAGCCTTGAGGGAGATCGTTGGTGCGGCCATAGCCGCGTAGATGTAGACTAGGTGGTAATTATTGGCAAGGTGAGACTGACAGGAGACGTGGAGAAGCTTACCTGGACTTACCTGGCGACGACACGTATGATCTGCTGCTGTCCCCGCAAAGGTGCGGAAGTGCTGCGCCATCCTCCATATCTGATTATTGACGTGGAAGGAGGGATGGGCGCCCTGTTCTGATCTGGGCAGTAATTATAACAGGACGTCAGGGGGAACATGCATTGCTGAGGTGGCATTAGGGGAGAATCCCGAAGTGGGAGTGGGAGAGAGGAAGACATACATATGCTATTGATTATCATTGAGACTCTCCTTCTCCTCTTCGCTGTCTCATCCTTCCCCTTACTCTTCTCTCATGCTCTTCTTTGACGGGATAATACTCTTGAATGGCGCATTTGATCGAGACTTGGACTTGTAATTGATGATTGGAGACTTCATGCGTCACACTGGGTTCAGACTTCCATTGCATCGCTGATTGGCTTTCCAACGAGACTGGGTTCATTACAATTTGGTATCGGAGCGATACTCTCCTACCTCGTGCGCTGCTGATTGTGACCGTGGGGGAATGATGATGATGATGTTGATGTGATGATGCCGTGATTGTCTGCCGTGGAGGGGAAAAGCGGTCGTCACTATTATTGCTGCTTGACATTTCATTGGCGGACAGAGGAATATAAGTGCCACGTGGTAAAGTGATTGCTGACGTGGCACTGACGAGAGAGACTGGCGAGAAGGAAGGGGTGCTGACGTGACATGGGAGGGCATGATGAGGCACATACCGTCCCTTACCAAGTGAAGACAACCACGGCAGATGCTCGTTGAGGTGGTAGACACCTTGCTGACGTGGTCTACACTTCGATGCTGACATGGACAAAGGCTTGCTGATGCGGCAGGCACTATTGTGCCATCGTATAAACCACCTCCTGACACATTCTTTGCTGATGTGGCATGCTGCCCTGTCAAGGTGGCATTTCACGCACGTGCTGATGTGGCACCTCCATGAGGAATAGCGAGGTACTCAGGCTGACGCGGCATTGTCCATGAGAGCAGCTTGGTATGTCCATTGACACGGCACCTTCCAAAGGAGCAGTGGAGCTGATATGTGCAGACTTCTGGGTACTGCCGAGCTGACATAACAAACTGCTGACAAGTACAGGCCGGTGCAGAGAAGCCTTGCACACGTGGGAACCAGGCGGACGGTACAACGGAAGTTAATGTTGTAGTCCCACGCTCCTGGACATGTGCCTGGTCACACAGACATCTGCAAGTTGACAGTGGGAGCAGCGGCAGCTAACAATTGTCTACTTGTTGTGCGTGCTGATGCTGATTTCTATGTACTTACTACTTACCTGTCGTTGGCTGTGGTGTGGATGTCTGCGGACTTACCATTGTGTGTTGTCTTGATCTCACTGGCCGTGGCTTAGATACCTGCACAGTCTCCCCAATTAAAATAACATCGGTCATAATTAGCGGATAGAAATAGGTGTAATGAACCCAGTCAGGAGGAAACTCGTCAAATGTCAAAATACAAGATGACTCAGCGCTGATAAATGTCTCCAATAATCGTGGAATGTAATCTGTAATACAACGCCTCGTAACCATAGGACAAAGGAGGTAGGAGGGAGAATAGACTTAGAAGGTGGAAAAGAATGTATCCATCAATGTCCACGTAGACAGAACACCCTCATTCCCCACTTCTTCTTTGGGCCTAACCCCCACGTCCAGGTCAGCAAACAGTATCCCAGAAACGAGCCTGACGAGATCTGATCACAACATAGTGCCACGTAGGCACAGTTCTCCCATGAAGACATCTCTACAGCGTGCAATACCGACAGCATCAACAGGTAAGTTTTCCCACTCTCCCTCAATCAATCCCACAGATCTTGATCACCCTCCTTGTCGCATCACAATCCGTGTCGTAGACAGTGTGGCATGCGCCACATCCGCAATGCCAAAGACAACGTGGCAAGTGCCACATCAGCATCCAAGAAGACAGCTGGCGCCAGAAGCAGAGAGGTTCCAGCACACAAGGCAGCAGTCTCACGTCGTTGTCACACAATGCCAGTGTAGAGCCAGCGTCTTGCCAGCGTCCAGCCAGCGTCCTGGGAGCGTCAAGCAGCAAGGCAAGACTGAATGTTGACTTCCAGAGGCAGGGTCAATAAACAGTGTTGACGAAGTTGACCAGCCTCTGGTCTCTCACGTGCGGAGGCTCAGATTGACTCACAGCCGACGGCCTGGATCTCGTGCAGTTGCAGACTTCCGCTTGGACCGAGTGTTGCCTGGATACCTGTGTACAACCAAGTGTGTGTGTCTGATTAGTGGCCGGGACTGGGTCCATAGAAAATAGTGAAAATCATTATTTAGACTTTCTGATCCTTTTGTGAGGAATGTGTCCTCAGGGGCCCTTAGACAACAAGCATATGTTCCGACTGTGGCCCCCAGCAAGCCTCATGCCCGCCCTAAGTGAAGGCGTGCCTGAATATTCACGGGAGGCCCTTATCTCAGCATTTTCCAATGCGGGTCTCAGACAGTTGCTGCATGGCAGTTGGTTGAAGTGCAACCTTAGACCTTCCAGAGGAAGGAACTGCGTCAGATAGTTGAACCGGGGCCCTGGTGGTTGAGCGCAGGGCAGATGAATTGAGAGGCCGATACATCACAAAGTGGCCACGGGCCAACAAGAAAGCAGCATTGTCGTCGTATCTACCCCGTGGCCCGGTGCAAATGCAGCAAACATTCGGTGCCTGGAAAGTGCTGGGTGTCCCCAACTAAAAACGGCCCAGTCCCGTAACTGTCAAAGTCCGCCTGGGCGCAGGGGCCCGACCGGGTTAGGCCCACACAGAGTCCAGCAGCCGCAACCTCTCCCATATAGGGAGGAGGCTGGCAAGAGCTGGGTATTCTGGCCGATGCGAGCATTGTGGATACGCTGCTGCACTAGCAAGCGAGTGTCTGCATGCACTAGCTTGGCCTGGGGCACGCGCAGGCGCTGAGAGGTGAGGGCGCTGCAGGGCAGCGGGGCGCTAGCCGCCATAGCCGGGCTGCAGGGCGCTAGCCAGAGGAGGGCGGCAGGGGGTCTTCGGGAGGAGGCGCAGAAGTGAGTGACAGGGGGTGAAGAGGGGAGACGAGGATACATACCTGGTGTATGTGGGAGGTCGGCATTGGTGTTGACGACATGTAGATTGGTCTTCGAAGTCGAAGTGACCCTGTTGTATGAATGTAGAAAGGCAAGGTAGGCAAGTAGAGTAGGCTGGGCGCTGCACGCCAGACAGAGAGGAGAGACATTGAATACTGCGTTGGTGTGGCCTGAGGGCTTGAACATTGGCTCACGAGTTCATTGTATTTCTCTTATTTGGATGGAATCTTGGTGCATCTGAGCTCTCTGCTTGTACATGACTATCTGGACTTCTGAGTGATTTTGCAATTTGGTTTTCTGTTTATGACTCTCTCCCATATTCCTTGCAATTTGGTATCTGTTGCATACCGTATAGGTGCAGACCAGAACAAGAACCGACCTTTCAATACAAAGTATAAAATAGCACAGCGGAAGACTTAGATACCAA